TGAGCTTGGGGTTGTACTACCGATATCGGCGAGTGTCCGACGAAATCTAAAGTGCTTATCACGGAATCAAATGCTACTTGCGACCAGTTCACCTTGACGATGAAGACCTCTAGTACCCCCTCGAACATCTCGGCAACGATCGTACTGGGTAATTCCGTAAAGGAGCTTCAGCTGGGAGAAGTGGAAGTACAAGGCGATGGGCCAACGAACCGATTGGCATTAGCTCAGAACGATTTCACGGATCGAATAAATATCTGGCTGGTATCAAGACAGGGCTACATCAATGTTGCACTCCGTCGTTTATGCTCCACACATATCCATCGCCTTTCCGCTGGTAGAATCGGTGACCGTTACCGAGTGGATATGGAGTACGTAGGCGAAAGCTTATAAGACTCAAAGCCTAGAAAGATCGACGTCAAGACTGAAGATATCGATGCGGATGAGTTATCTGTGAATACCACGGCCGCCGACTTAGTCTAGCATACTATACTCTTCCTTGTCGAGATAAGTCGCAGGAGTCCTGTCCCAGCAGCCTTGTACCTTTTATCAGGGCGGGTTTTGTGTCGGCAACCTTGACTTCAGACATTGGGTGGCAGCGACTATAATTAATCTTACTCGGGTAACAGAGGGTGGATGCGCCAACAGCGTTCGCAGTTGCTACGTTTATCCTAACTGTGGGAACGTGTGAACCAAGAGATCCGTTTATCTCGATTCTTACTAACTATTAGGTGGCTTAGCTGCCACTATTAGCGATCGTGAGTAAGATCTGAGGCTTGCATGGTCACAATCGCTCGCATGGGCGACCAGGGCGCGATGAGGCCCTTTCCCGCGGATTCACGATATAGTCCCTTCTCAAGGGACCGAACACTTGTCTAGCTTCTGTGCTCATCTGTATCTTGGACGTCGCGATATATGACCTTCAAAGATATGTAGCAGGAATCGCTGCGCCTTCCAGTCCTGTGTGCCGTGGGTATGCATCGAGCACGCGAGGCGCGCTCGAAAGTCATTGCATACTACGCACGCTGCATACGACACGGAACTATCGATCTGCGCTTTTACAGGATTGCGACATTCTTATTAGGTCTGTAGACAATGTAAAACCCTTAATGTAGGCGACGATATTTACTATTTAGGTAGTCAGTGTCGCGAATTTTGCACGATTAGTTCGGCGGGTGCCTGGGCATTCCCAACAAGGAGAGCACTAACTTGTTTGCCAGCTACGTCAAAGTAGGCGTCAGGGTGCTCAGCCTTTTGCTTGGATGAGGTGCAGATGCCTGCTGCATTGGTAGTGGTGGTGGCCCCGTGGAGCATACGTCATCAGCTTTGCCCCGCTTTCGCCTCGTCATATCCCCAAGTCACCTTCAAGCACGACACCGCGCGACACCGGCCGACACTAATATGCTCCCGCGCAAATAATTGCACTTTCAATTCGCAAACACACCAGTTCGGTCATCAATTCGTCAAGATCGCTGCTGTCGAAGATGCGCATGCAAGCACCCGTGGAAACGACCTTCTGAGTAAAAGGAACACGTCGCTGGCGCAATGTCTGAGACCAAGTTTTGTGGGAGGTGTCAAGAAGTCCTTCGTCTAGTACAAGGAGATCTCAGTTCATATACCGATCACAAGACACATCATGATAGCAGCGAATCATTCAGCCAAGCAGTAGAACAAGGCTGTCACATATGCAATTGGGTCCAGATTGCGCATACTTGGTCCAGACGGCGATGGCGACGCGATTTGGAGCCTGTGCACCACACAAATTACCTGTGGAGTATTCCTTATGAGCCGGGAAGGCGCGTTGACTATGTCGAAGACGTTTTAGAGCTTAATATCTACGTCTACCCGTCAATCGACTACCCCAACAGTGTCTTGAGATTACGTCTACTAGATTCGAATATTACAGGTAGTGTCCTTATGTAGTATGGGTACCGTCGCTAATAAACTCAGAAAGCCGGCCGTGCGCCATCCGTACTGCATTACATCCTATGATAAAATCGGATGAGACATTGTCGCTAGTTCGGCAGTGGATCAACGAATGCTGTTCAAAGCATGTCGAATGCCGACAGCGAACAGATCATATGACATTACCATCTAGACTCGTTCGAGTCCAGACCGATGGCACAAGTCGCGAAGTGAAAGCGAATGTATGTCGCGCCGATGTGTTGCCGGTAGGAACTCCATATCTTACTCTTTCTCACTGTTGGGGCAACGTTACGTTCCTCACCACAACCCGCGCCAACCTGCTTTCGTTCGAGTCATCGCTTCCTGTGGAAAACCTGTCTAAGACGTTCCAAGACGCTCTATACGTGACGGGGGCTCTAGGCTTCCAGTATATCTGGATCGACTCTCTCTGCATCATACAAGATGACCCCGAAGATTGGGAGCGAGAAGCGCGTCGGATGCATGATACATACAAGGGTGCTAGCTGCAATATCTCTGCTTCTGGATTCTACAATGGCGAAGCAGGGTTCATGCCAGCCCAGCGGTGTGATAGATCCGTTCCAGTGCCCGTGACCGTGGATCTCTGGTCCCCACCTATAGGAACCTCAACTACCAAGAACACCACGGAAAGAACATTCTATTTGATACGCGATGATCCGTGGACTGAAATGAAGAACGCTCCAATCTTTCTTCGAGCATGGACCTTGCAAGAGCAACTACTTGTAAGTGCCTCCACTTTTGCGCGAGCCAGATCACCCCCTGATCGATAGGCCACTCGAACCGTACATTTCAATGATGACCAGGTGTACTGGGAATGTAAGGCAACGGTCGCGAACGAGGTCTGGCCTTGCGGTTGGCGAAACACCCCATTGGAGCGCCAGTTCCAAACATGGACCGGTTACGATAGTACCTGGCGATTCAGGCTCGAAGGTCTGCCTGATGGCAGCGTTAGTCCCAAGGCTACTAAGTTATATAAACAAACTAACAAGTGCTAGATCTCTATTTACAACAGCTGGTTCGATGTTGTTGAAGATTACACACGCCGTTATCTCACGTATGCTGCCGACCTTATCCCTGCTTTAGCCGGCATAACGAAAGAGTACGACAATCACCTTGGGGACAGGAACGAATATGGACTGTGGACCGGAGACATTCACCGCGGAATACTGTGGCAGGTGCATCCAGACAATTACACTATATCGCATGAATCCACTTTGACCGTAAGCTTGCCGACCGTACCAAGCTGGTCTTGGATAGGGTTAGGCAAACCCGTCTACTGGAGCTACCCAATACGCAGGGCATCAGAGCACATCTGTAACGTCGAAATCTTCCATTGCAAGGACCAAACGCTACTGCGGCTTCGCGGTACTCTTATGCGAGCCCCCAACACGTACAAAGCTACGCGCATCGTAGTCAGTACGGGATATATGCAGACGGGACTTAAGCAGACGCACTGCTGGGGATGGGATGATCGCGTCCTCTTCTACTTTTACCCTGATCAGTGGCCCTTCCCATATTACCCACGTCGGGCTGCTAACATCGGGCCCTCTGTTCCAGGGAAGACTAATGTAAAGAAGGATCACGAAGCAAGAACATGGGTAGAAAGCACCTTTATCATGCCGATACTCTATTTCGTTGAGCGGGAAGATGAAGAGAAATGCACGCACACCGTTGAAGCAGAGTGCCTTCTCTTGCGAGCGATACCTGGGGAACAACGTAGGGTGTACCGTCGAGTGGGCACTGTGATCATTTACAACAGGGTCGTCAAGGATGTAGATCCTGATTTGCTCAAGACCCGGTTCGAGGCTTGGCAAAGGTCTTTCCGACCCGACGCCGTTCAGGAGGAAGACGATCACGGTAATGACACGATCACGGTTGTGTAGAGAACAAATGCATGACACCCGCTAAGGCTTGGTCAACGAATCGACCACCTCACCGCGAATAGCCGCGATATACAATTGAACCGATGCGAGCTATATACGGAAAGTCCTCCCATCATACGTAAATAATCTACTCAAGCTGCAGAACCAACTCGATCACCATGAACACGCATCAAATGATCAATCATCTTGTCCTTGCGTGGGAAATCTTCGCCCCCTTCCATCCTACTCCTCTCGCATCCATCGACCGGGCACCAAAAGCCGGGGTTGCGAGCGTTGCGCACGCCGTGCACAGAGGCGTGGTGTCTGCGCAATTCAGGACCGCGACCGAAGGTCGCGCCGTTGCAGGGTGCGATATTGCACATGTGTTTGCGAGGGCGCTGCGATCTGTTTGTGGGGGGAGTGACGTTCGCATTGTGCTGAGCATTGGCGGTTGCGGCACTGGGCGGGAGGTTTGGCGCGTGAGTGTCGATGATGAAGTAACGGGACTGGTCGAAGTAACGAGGCAGGTCGAGACCGAAATGGCGAGGTTCGGAGGACATTTGATTGGAGTAGATTGGATCGCAGGTGTCAAAGGTCATGCTTTCATGGAAAGCGACGAAGTTTGGCCTGGGGGCAAGTTAGTCGCTGAAAAGTCGTGTTCGCAACAATGGGTCACGGCATAAGTAGACAGCAATGCAAAGCCTCTAACATACACCCCGGCTATATCAAAGTTATACAAGGATATTTCGGAGAGCCTTGTAAGAAAGTCGTTCAAGTGGGTTTAAGCGGCGTAGATCCAAGACTTATCGGGGGCAGAAGGTTAGTAATTCGGGGGTCGCAGTCGCTATCCTAATCGGAAAGCTCGCAACTAAGTTCATCCGGCTTGTGCAGTCAGGATTCAACCGACTTGTGCGGTCGAACGCAGATGTTAACAGAATTGAATTGTCTAGGTAAGATAAGAAGCTACTTGTATCTAAACATGCTAGCTACTTGATCCCGCCCGGACTTACGACCATGTCGTTTGGGCGCCGGTTGCTACTGTTATCTATGTTAAGTTAGCATGTGTGCAACAGAATTGTATTGTAAGGGGGTTAACGTTACCGGCTTTGCGAAGTATCGTGATACCGCGAATGTATCGCGGTAGATATGTGTCGCGGGTCACACTGTATATATGAACTCATCGCAAGATCGAAAGACTTACGCGAAGACGGTGTCGCAGGGCGTGAATGCATGATGCGAACGTTGGTTGCTTGGTGTCGCGGGGGACCAAAGTGTAACACCATTGAGGAGGTGTTCGTTCATCATCGCATCGGCGTCAACCGGGGGATTGGGTTGCGCAATGAGAAAAGGTGCTGCGGATGGGTTGTCGAAGTGCACGCGCGGCATACCACTGGAAGGTGGATCAGAGCCTAAACATTCGAGAGTTAGACTATGATGCGTATAGTGTAGTCTTGTACCTACTAGAGGCAAAATTGAGGTGTGTGTCCACCGACTCAAATGCAGCGGTGCCATCCGGCGAACCAAAAGCGATATCGATGATGTCGTCGATGGAGAGGGAGGAGAAATCAAAATCGTCGATGTAGTCGGACATGATGTGAAGTGTTCGGTTCAGGCAAGAAGTATCTGCAAGGACTAGAAAAGATTGTATTGAGATGCGATGTTAATAAGATATGCATTGCGTTTGGCATGACGCACGCTGAAGTTTTGTATGTTCGATGCGGCTGACATGTGGCGACATTGCCCAGCTGTGCCCTACAGTACCCTGCTGTAGAAGGGTAATAATAGCCACAATACCACGCATCAGCAGGTATGACGATTGAAAATCGATTATTCAACATTGTCGATCCAGAACTCACCGCAACGACTCATCATGCATTCATTGCAGAGTTATTCATAGCTGCCGTAGTTGAGTATAGAGGTGACAATTCCGAAATTCCGACGAACAGCCCCAGTCAGCCACTGTTGTCAACTTACTAACCCACGAGGGCCCTGTACCTATCTTTATCCTCGTGGAATCTAGCGTTGCAAGAACAACTAGACGATTTCAGAACAATGTTGTGGCGCAATGCTCGGGATGGTCCGTCGAGAGTCGCTGCAGTGTATGGAAAAACCAGATTTGGTGATGTTGTCGTTGAAGAACGACGACAAGTCAAGCTTGGCGGCGTGAGCGGACACGATGGGGACGACGTGGAACGCCTTTAGGCAGGATGCGCGCGCGAAAGGTTTGGTATATGGAAATGAGGCAGCGATGCTGGTGAGAATGAGAAGAACGTGGCTGTCTTGAGAGAAAATGATCTATAATCGATCGATGCGGCTGAGGTGGGGCAACGTCGCCCAGACTTTGCCATACGATGGAAGGGCAACAGCCACAAGACTGTGTGACAAGCTGCGGAAGTATGCTTCTGTCTACGATGCCGATGGTAGTCCTGTAGAGCTTTCGCGATAAGTTTGTGCATGATGATGCATCGATTTACCACGGATTTGGAGAGGCGGTAGTGTTAGCATGCTCTTTCGGCAATATTGAAGTATGAAGTATCCGACGAATCAATATCCAGATTGCAAAGACAAATGCATTGAACGAGAAGAGAAGAGGAGCGATGAGAAGAAGAAGAAGAGAGCCCACAGCGTCTTCACACGTTGGAGTGGATCATGCGGGGCAGGAATGAGTTGTTGTCGCACCATCATGCACAACGAAGTCACCGAGGCGCATCATGGAGTCGACCTCAACAGCCCATCGTCATCCAGACCATCAAGCCCTCCATACCCCAATCCCCACGCATACGCACTGTAGTACCGGTTGTAGTTCGCCATCCACACATAGCGATAATTCCTCATTGCCTCGTTCAAACGTGCGAGAAGCGCATCGGCCTTCTCCTGCTCTTGTGCCGATGCCCGCGGGAAGAACTTGGCTCGCAGTACGTGATACCAGAAGGTTGTCTCGACCGTGGCCATCAGACCGAGACCGGCGTAGACGGTGTAGCGGACTGCTGGCTTGGCATCGCGGACGAGTTTGAAGAGGTTGAAGGAGGGGAGGGTTGGGATCTCGGCTTGTTGGGTTGATTTTGGTGCTGAAGGGATGTGATCTTTAGGGGAAGGCGCTGAGATGTGAAGGCGGCGGGTGTTGGTGACAGTGGCTGACGGTGAATCGTGTGGGTGAGAAGAAGTCCGTAACGAAGGAGCGATGCGCATCGTCGTATTCTTAGAAATCATTCGTTGAGCCATTGGATCCGGGGGAACAAACTGGAGTAGTTCACGTGACGCGGGGTTGATAAGATGAAGGAGTTGACTCGATATGAAGATTCACGACTTACCTGGGACTCACCAGTATGCAGTCTATATACTCACCTTCTCACCTACTCATCTTCGCCTACTCACACCTAAGTGCGTCCAAGTCAGCGCGAAGTCATCACGGAGGCAGCCGCCAAGACCGTCGTGTTTGTTTTGGGCTTAAGATTGCGAGATATTGGCGTTCGCATGTGCAATCTTAGAATTTGCGCAGGGGTATCGAAAACGGTGCGTCCGAGCGCCGTTGACGTCGACGGCCTGGTGAGCGAAATGCGTTGACGATGCCTGGGGAAAGAGGTGAAGGGTGCGCGCAAAGTGTAATATCACATGCGCGTGCGGATCCGGGTGAGGTGTATGTGTGGGAGAAACAGGGAATAGGGTGGTGGAAAAGGCGGTGGCAGGCTTGTGGGCGGGGAGTGTGAGCTGGCAGGGACACCTGGGCAAGTGGAGCGTGGTGCGCCTGCCGGCATAGTCAGGAACAACAAATCAGCCCTCGACGCGCCCGACTAGTGACCACCACAACGCTTCACTCCCTCGACGCTTGCTTTTCCTGCCACCGCTCTCTCCCTCCTATGTAGCTCCTACCCGCCCAGCATTAATCCGAGCATGAGCGACAGCATCCACCACACCGCGACGCATTTTTAACTCACCACGCTGCTCCCGCCGGCTGTTCACGACTTGTTTACGCGCACGGAGGGGTCGTACACATGGACTCGGCCGGCCTTGGTGCCATGCCAGGGCCTCGCTGCTGTTGTGGGAGCCATGACTGCGCTTTCCTCGCCCACAACGGAAGACTCTTAGAAGGACTGGAGAGAGATGTCTCCAAGGCTGCACAGCTGGGCCAGGTACGTCGCTCACTCCCGCATGTCGGCTCTTACTACCGCGCATGCCGCTAACCTTTGCCCTGCAGGCCCTGCTCGTCCGCCATGAGGCCTACGTCGCCGACTCGGAGCGCGAGCGGAAAGAGATGATCAACACCATCGAAGGGCTCGAGAAGGACAAGATCGAGCTCGAAGCCAAGAATGCGCAGACCATCAAGGCGAACCGCGACCTCCTCGACCAGCTCGAGCAGCTCAACAACGCCGTCGCCGAGTCGGACGCCCACATCCGCGCGCTGGAGGACACGCTGCGCTCCACCGAAGACGAGATCGACCGCCTCAGCTCCCTGGCCGCACGCACGCAGCTGCTCGAGCGCCAGCTGATTGACCTCGAAAGAGAGCAGTCGCAGATCCAGAGTAGCCTGGACGCCAAGATCGTCGACGAGCGCACAGCCATACAGCGGTGGAAGGTGGCCGAGCGGACTATAGGAGATCTCCAGGACCAGATCGACCGCATCGAGAAGGAGTCCCGCGCCGAGCGTCAGCGCCACATGGAGGTCGTGGCCCGCATGGAGCGGAGAATGGTCGTAGAGGGCGAACTTCACACCGCCGCCGGCAGACTCAAGGCCAAAGCTGGGACTGACAAGGGCGGGCCCAACGTCGTCTCCCACTTTGTTAAGGACATTCTACTCGATAACGCGAACCTGCAACACGGCATACTGGAACTGCGCGAGCTATTAGGCAACTCCAACGAGGAGGTCGAACGCCTGAGAGACCAACTCAAGGTTCACCAGCCTGTCTCGACGTCACCCCGCCCCGATGAGGACGTCACGAGTCCGTCGCTGCAGAAGGAACTGGAAATGGAACAAGAAGCTTCGCTACAACAGGAACTGCACATACACCACCACTACCACGGTCCGAAGGTCACCAGAAACGTACCCAAGCCACCTGCGCAGCGGCGCCCGAAGAAGAAGCGCTTCTCCCTCACTCCGACGCACTTCGACCCGCCTGCAACCCTCGATCGCTCGTCTACGGCTACAATTCTGGAACACACTGCGGTTACTGTGCCTAACTCGCATAGATGGTCTCAGGCATCGACCCTCACGCCGGGCTCTTTTGCAGGGTCACCCGTCTCGGACTCACACCGTGGATCCATGTACGACCGTGTTTTCAGCGAGGCGTATGACTCTTCCCGGCCCACCAGCCCTCCCGATTCCATCGACTTCCAGTCTCCCATGTTCGGGCCCGTCAAATCGAACGACTACAGCTCCGATCCGGATGCGTTGCCACCGATGCTACGAAGGTCGTCTGGCACTCTTGAGGTCGCCAAGGGCGGTAACAAGCATCTGCGACGGAAGTCTCGCGGTCTCATGCCACCGAGCCTCTCGACAATGCGCAGCTCAAGCACGCCCATCGCCCTTACCGCTAAGAGCAGTCCTGCGACGGCCGTCATATCAGCTGTCAGCCCCGCCAACTCCTTCTCAGATGCCAGCTTTACGCTCTCGCCCTACCTCCAGCCGGAGCCTCAGGCTGCTATCCCAGAGGAAAGCGAAGACTCCTCGCTATCAACGGCCGAGCCATCGCTGATGACGTCCAATGGCGAATTCGAACCCGACGACCTCGTCTCGCCCATGACCGCCATGCGCCCCGGATTACGCCGCCACGCCTCCCACGAATCCCTCATCTCGGTGTCCGGCATGGACATCCACACGCTACAGTCCCGCCCTTCACAGCTCCTATACTCTAATGCGGCGAGATTCGCAACGCCCGGCAGTTCTGGCTCCGTCGGTCCCGAGCTCACACCATGGACCGCTACCGCGCACGGCACGCTTTCGAATAAGACATCGCAGAGCAGCATGGCCAACCGCGACTTCCTCTACTCCAGCATCGCGAACCAGAAACGCGGACCCAGGAAGAGCGATGGCCCCCAACCCTCCAGCGGCCCCGGTCTTACAAAGAAAGTGGGCGGCTGGGTCTTTGGCAAATGGGGATCATCGCCTGCTCCCGTCACTTCACCAACCGCTACCCGCGCGCCTTCGATCCTTAGCCAGGAAACGCAGTCCACGCAGGACACGCAGTCGAGCGAAGGCACCACGACCACGAATGCGGACGGCTCGAAGAAGAAGGACAAGCCTAAGCTGCGGCCTAGCGGCGTGAACCAGAATGGACCCATATGGGGCTTCTTCGACGAAGTCCCCGATGCGCCGGCCAAGGTCGTGGTGCAAGATTACGACGCGGATGCGCTTGGTGAGGCCTTGGCTGAGGCTTCATAGACCCGGACTTGGATACGGATATCACAACAGCGCGTGCGTGTGTATAAGAAGGCTCTTTACATATGGAAACATTTCTTACCATCTATCTCCTTAGTTTTTTTTTGGATTCCGATAGATTGCATCACTGGCGTTTTGGGTTTCTTTTCTTCCTTCCTTGGACCTTTTTGGATGTCGATACGTTTGACGAAGCGCATGAGAGTGAAGGAAGATATTTCCTTTTCTTGGTTTTTGGATACTGGATATTGGATAGATGATGATACGAGCTGAAGATTGATACCCAATTTATGCGCCATGGCGACGTGGTGGGCTTGCTACTGGAGTTGAATTTTTCTGAATTGTGTTCTTGACTGATGTGCTAGATAGGCAGACTCGTCATCTCAGCGGGGAGTGAGATACAGTCATCACATCCCATGCTTTCGAATGCAGCAATTCTTCCCTGCGGATTTCTTATCTGTTGCGATGTCGGTCACGGTAGTCTTCCTCTTATCGACTCGCATCGTGATCCTTCTTCGCCGACCATTGTGTTCCTTCCCTGTCGTCCACTGTAATGCTTCCTCGCGGGGCATTGTTCCTTCCTCGCCGAATATTGTTCTCCTTCCTCGCCGACCATTGTGTTCCTTCCTCGCCAGTAAGCAAGGGTGACCTTCTTTGGTCGTTAAGCAAGGGCGAGATCGACGTCATCGCGACTTCCGCGCTTACGCGCATCCTTCACATCCTTCACTCTAACACCGCCCAGGTAACTCGCCATCGCTACCACACGCTCCGTCCAATCGCATTCTGCTTCGCAGTTCAGCCATCCCCAAAGCTGAGGTCGGTACTTACCCGCCCATGCCACCCGCCCACGCCGCTGGCTGCTCCCGCGGCACTTTGCTTCCGCAAGATCGATTTCAGGAGATCGTACTCACCGTATCGCATCGGAAGGGCAGTGAGATGCCGCGGCGGTCAGTGGCTCTCATGAGAGGATGGGGCAGGCGGAGAAGAGGCGGAGGGGAGGTGGTGGAGGTCTCGCACGGTGAGATAATGCGGCGGTCAGTGACTTTCGCCCAAGCTGTTCTTACTTCGCATGGAGGCGCGGTCATCCCAAAGCTGACGTCGGTACCTACCCGCCCGCGCCGCTGGCTATCCGCTCAACTCGTGTCAACCGTTCACGCTTCGCTTCTCAATTCAGTCATCCCTTATGTTGAAATCGGTGCCTACCCGCCCGCACTGCTGGCCGCTCCTGCAGAATCGATTTGAGAGGATTGTACTCACTGTATCGCGTCGGCGAGCGAAGTGAGATGATGCCGCACACGATCCGCCCAATTCGGGTCAAAAGATCGCGCTCTGCCTCCACGAAAAGGAAGATACTGATCGTATCACAATCGTGGAGCGAAGTAAGATGACGCGGCGGTCAGTGTGTTTCACTCAGCTGTTCCTACTTCGCATGGAGGCGCGGTCTACTACAGCGGCCAAGGGACTCCATTGTAGGATGCGATCCTTCGCGCGTCCAGAGTAACTTGCACAACTTCTCAGCCTCTCAAAGCGAGCACATGTTTGACCGCCTCGGGAGGTGGAGGGGAAGTGGTGGAGGTCTCGCACACTAGACTGCCCTAGGAATCATTTGGACCCAGCTTCGAGGACGGTCAATCCTGAAGGATTAACGGAGTCGATGCCGGAGCAGATCGAGGATGGTTATATACGTGAGCTGAACAGAGCTGGAGTCGCCAACTCTGCAGTCCAAGCACACTTCGTGGGCCCCGACTGTAAGCAGAAACGATGAGCTATCCGATTGCCAACCTGGAAACATCAAGCGACGACGTATGTACGATCTGTTTCTCCGACACTGGAGCCAGGATGCGATGCTTCCCGACGAAGATCAATGGATACTCTTCTACTCAGATCGAGGCCGTCCAAGGGCATCCCCGGTACAGGAGAGCAACAAGAAAAGGGTATGATGCGGCCAGGAGATTTGAACAACTCATAGGCTCTGGGGGTAACAAGAAGAACAAGGTTACCATCTCGCCTAACGGTATTGTTGGAGGTCATCCTTTGGGGCATCACGACTGGGCCACAAAGAGAATCGCCTTCTTCGTCGAGACCAGATTTGACTTTCTGACTTCACTGACACCGACGAGCATCGTGTCATCCACTCAATGGTTGCACTTTGCTGGACTATCATCGAACGCCGCGCTCCACGGTCTTTTGACTTCGGGCTTGCGCAGTGTCACTATTCTCTCGGGAATCTGTTTGTTCTCGTCCAAGGTCATGACCAGGACCACGGTTACTAAAGACGTGCCGATCATCGACCTCCAAAATGGGCAGTGCAACGGAGCTACATTATACGAGCTGGAGTACATTGCTCGAAGTGCTCCGGCCATCGCAGACCTTGCCATCGCCTCCCGACCCGCGGCGGAGCGGACTACTCATAGCAATGGCGACACAACATGCCAGCCGTCCCAGATTTGCTTGGACATTCCCAGTTTCCATTACTACCAGACGATCGACGATCTACTGCGGTCTGGTCGTTGCACATTCGCTGAGGCCCTGCATTGGCTCTATGTTATAGAACAGCACCATCATCAGATCTCGCACATATTCCGTGGTTATCTCCACGTCGAGCTAATGCGACGAGACCCGTCCATCAAAGCATACGCCATCAGCGTCACCCCGGGGGGTGAGCGTATTCTCTCAAGCATCCGCAAGTCGCTCATGATGCGTACGCTTCCATCTGTGCAACAAGCCATCGATGATCTCGGTGTTCACGAACCAGCTTGGACAAGGTTCATGCAGTTTGTGCGCGACACGGAAAAGCCAAAGGATTTCAGATCCCTTGGCCAGATGTTCTATGTGTACCAAGTAGTACGGCACGCCTTGGGTGAAGCATCCGGGCACGAGCCAACACAACCGGGCTTGTTAATAAGTGTCGAGGACAGCGCCGAACGCGGTGTATATTCTCGAGCCCAAAAGCTTCTCAAAAGGATCCGAGAATCGACATGCTCATCATCACCTGTACTACTAGAGACATACCTCTGTCCGCGTGTCTTTGTGGATAACAACGCTCATGGATCGGAGCTGTATGCTCACGACCCGTATCCGGCGTCCGTCTACGAGAGATGCAACTCAGAGAGCGATAAACCGCTTCTTGGTAGTTCAAGATCGTCGCTCAAGCGAGACTGTTCCAGTAGTCAAAGCGATATTGTCCTGGAAGCTGATCCGACGCTGGTGGAGCTAAACAATTTGGATGTGATTGAAAGATTGTATGGCGAGAGATCGGCTACGCTGCTAAGGGAGCTGGGGGTAGAGGTAGGCCTCTTTGACGGGCTGACGCAGCCTTAGATAGGTTTGAGAATAACGGCTCTGATGTGTTTAGTCTTACTGCGAGAGAGAGAGAAACACAAGTTACACATCTATCGACCTTACTGCTTCTTTCTGCTATCATGTTGCACGTTATCCAGCATCTCGGACTGCTTTGAGCGCCGGCGATTGTGTGAAGTTCGAGCTGACATGCAGCACCCTCTGTGGTCTTTCCATATACTGCAACGAGTCTCGATGGAAGGTGTCGAGCTTTGCGCTCTTGCTGGTTGTGCAGAGGTATTGGGCGCAGCAGGATATACGCGAAAATCTTGCTCCGCATAGACTATACTCAGCGCTGCTTGAAGTACTCTCGACCATCGACCCTGACTACGATGCAGTGATAAGCAAAAGCTTGTGCTGCTCAGACCGAGCCACCTACGTCATCGCGACTTTATTGCTTACGCGCATCCTTCACTCTAACACTCCTCAGGCAAATGGCTATTCCGTCAACCAAATCGCGCTCTACGTCTCGTTATCTCCGAATGCGGGGAAGCATCAAGTACCTATGCTCTCACTATCTGCTGCTGAGGAGCAATTACTTTCCACTTGAACCTCCCTCTCCATCGCTAGAACGCTGACAACAATGACGCTCATTTTCAGCAAGGTACCAGGCTACGCGCTCGCATCAACCTTCGCCGCGCTCGGTGGCATACTGAATGGGTATGTTATGACTGCGCTCCATCTCCTGTGACAACCGTCGCGCATCTTGCCCAGCATAGACACGAACCAACTCACTAACATGCCACCAGATTCGACACAGGCTCCGTCGGCGCCGTCACCGAAATGCCATCCTTCACCCACACATTCGGCCACCTGTCACCCACTATGCGCGGCTTCACCGTCTCTCTTATCATGCTCTGTGGCGCCATCCCAGCAACAATCGCAGGCCACCTTGCCGACCGCTCCGGCCGCCTCCGCATCATCATCAGCGGCGCAATCCTGTGCACGATTGGCTGCGTGCTCGAATGCGCTGCCTCGCATCTCAGTCTCTTCCTCGTAGGCCGCGCACTGATGGGCATCGGTCAAGGCTTCGCGCTCACCAACATTGGAGTATACATCTGTGAGATCGCGCCGAGTCGCAGTCGTGGTAAGTTCGTGTCGCTCCCGCAGTTCGGTGCTGCGTTGGGTGTATGTGTAGGGTATTTCTCGTGCTATGGGAGTATACACATCAATGGCAACATGTCGTGGCGGCTGCCGTACATACTGCAAGCCGCGCTGGCAACGATGTGGGCTGCTGGCTCGTTCTTCCTGCCCGAGAGTCCGCGGTGGCTAATATTGCACGGGCAAAGAAGTCGAGCGATGCAAGAGCTCAAGAGGCTGGACTTTGAAGCTGCAGAAGCGGAGAAAGACGTCTTGCGCCCCACCGAGAATGCAGCTCCCGAGGAGCAAGTCGGGGTACTGCAGGGCCTGCGCTTGATCTTCAAGCGCGAATACCGATCGCAGACATGGCTCGCGGTGTTCATCCTGTCGTTCGTTCAGTTGAGCGGCATCGACGGCGTGCTCTACGTATGTTATGCGCCCCAACGACGTGAACTCACCTCCGCATGCTGATCAAACCGCGCAGTACGCTCCAACCATCTTCGCACAAGCCGGCATCCCGTCGCAAACTGCCTCGTTCCTCGCTTCGGGCGTCTCCGCCATCCTCATGCTCGCCTTCAGCATCCCCGCCACGCTCCTCGCCGACAAATGGGGTCGTCGCACGTCCGCTATCTGCGGCGGCATCATCCTCTCCGGGACCATGCTTCTTATCGGCTCGCTGTATGCCGCGGACGTCGTGCACTCTGACGGAACCGCGCGATGGATCGTCATCGTCTCGGTCTTCATCTTCGCGATTGGATACGTCTCAACGTGGGCCATCGTGGGCAAAATTTACGCGTCTGAGATCCAGCCCATGAGGACGCGTGCGACGACGAACTCGATGGCCACAGGCGGTAGCTTTGTAAGTCAAATCCTTACCTCTTCCTTCACCGCCTTCGCTGGCATCGTTATTGCGCGTTCTTTGCTGACTTGTGCGGCGAACAGCTTGCGAACTGGCTCGTTGCTTTCGCGACTCCAATCTTCCTGGCAAGGTCGGCGTACGGCGCGTACTTCCTCTTCGGTACGATTGCGCTTTTGACGCTTATTGTGCTTGCGACGTGTATGCGCGAGACGCGCGGCTTGTCGCTTGAGGATATTCAGGTGTCGTTCGCGCAAGCTTCGTCGCGGTCGTTCGGCATTTCTTTAGGTTTAGTGCGAAGGCGCCGGTTTAAGACGTAAGGCCTTCTATTAGAGTTAACTCTATAACATGTAAGGCAATATTATATATAATACTAGAATACTTTATTACTTTATTATAGCTTTTAAAGCTATAGCGTTTTATATTCTACTATATAAAGTATATAGATCTTATTTTAAGTCTAAATTATTCTTTCTTTTAGTCTACTTATTAAAAAATATATTATATATACTATAAGATAACTTATAAGAAACTAACTTTAAAAGTAAGTACTAATCTTATTAGATTTATAACTATTACTATTAAATTCTATAAAATTTAGTTTATAGATATAGTATAAGCTAGTAATAGACTAAAAGTTTCTAGAAAATAGAAAGTTATAGTTTATATTTATTAATACTAAACTATTATTATTATAGAATATATCTTTAGATACTCTTATAGAGTATTATATATTATTATACTAGTATAGATTAAAATAAGCTCTTTAGAGCTTTAATACTTAAGAAAGCTTTCTAAGTTAACTTATAATATAATAATTTAACTTCTATTTATTTTTATACTTCTAGATATAAGAGTTATTAGTCTAGTAATTTAAGAAGATAATATAGTTCTATATTTATATACTTAAGATATAAGATATTTAATAAAGTTTAGAAAAGTTAGAGTTAAAGTTATAATAATCTCTATAGAAGCTTTTATACTTATAGACTTAGTATATTAGTCTAAGTAGTTTACTTAGTTTAAATTCTATACTCTAAGTAAAGAAATTTAAACTAATATTAACTCTAATATAGTAAAAGCTACTTCTATCTAGATAAGTATTCTATAAGCTTTAGAGATAGTAGTACTTATAGAGAATTCTTTAGTTTATAAGCTTTATACTAATAAGTATAATCTATCTATTATAAAGTATAAAGTATAACTAATAGAATAGTAATTAAAGAGTACTTATATTAGATATTTTTAGAACTAGATTAATTAGACTATTAGTCTAAAGCTTCTAGCTTCTACTATACTTTTTATCTTTATAGAAAAAAAAATTATATTATAAGTACTTATTAAATATCTTAAGTCTATACTTTTTCTAGAAAAAAAACTATACTAAGAATTTTATATATTTATAGTATAGATTATATTTCTAGAAAGTATAATAAGAATATATTAACTTTAAGTATTAGTAGTAAAAGTATCTTTATATTCTAGTCTAAGCTAAAGTATATAAACTTACTAAAGTTAGTAATATACTTATAGTCTAGAACTATTTAGAAGTAATTAGTATTAAGCTTACTTTAGAATAGAAATACTTTATATAATAAAACTTTATTAAAGCTCTTACTATTAGTAAAACTTAGATTACTTTTAAATAAGTATTAAAAAATTTTACTATACTAATCTAAGAGTATACTACTTACTTTACTAGTAGAAGTAGTATATTTACTATTATAGAAGTACTATAATAAGCTTCTAGTAATAATAACTTACTTTAGAAGTTTAAAAAAGATTATATATATTAATAGTACTATAAGTAGTTTACTACTATATATAAGTATTTAGAAATAGTACTTATAAGTAAACTTCTAAAGCTTTCTAAAAAAGCTAAAGCTAAGATTATTACTAAGCTTAAGAACTTAAAGTATAATAGTTTATAAAAAGCTTTTAATAAAAAAGAATAAACTACTTTATAGTAAGTATAGATTAAAAGCCTAAGCTTTATTTATCTAGAGTTAATTTAGATAATACTTATTAACTTTACTTTTATTATAAGTTAGCTAAGTATTAGTAGTATATACTTAACTATAGATTTTAATATCTATTTACTTTCTATAAGTACTATCTTATATAATAAAGTAGTAGTATATTTTATTAATAATATATTTTTAGTTAAGCTAAAAACTTTTATAAAAGTATATAAATTCTATACTATAGAAGTAGAAAGCTTTTTCTTTTAGATACTTAGATATAGTATATACTAAATTAGAAATACTTTAACTAAAAAGAGAGAACTATATATAGAAAACTTTATTCTAATAAGTATAGCGCTTATAGAAAGTTTATATATTAATATTATTTTAGAAGTAGCTCTTAATAAAGCTAGACTATAGTATCTAGTATAAAGAAAATTAAGCTAGAAATAATAATTTTAGAAAATTAGAATTATAATTACTACTTTTATAAAATTAGATAAGAGTAGTATAATATATATAGATAAGTGCGTAAAATACTTATATAAAAAAAAGAAAGTATATAACTAATCTAATAGATACTTAAATCTTTTCTATTAGAGTTAACTCTATTATATATAAAGTAATATTATATATAATACTAAAATACTCTATTACTTTATTATAGCTTCTAACTTTATTAGAATTAATAATAATAAACTATTATTATATAAAATATAGTACGTGCGTAGTAATCTTATAGTATAATATTACTAGTATATAGTGTAATATTAGTAGACGTAGAGGTAATATTAGCTATAGTAAGTATAATATTAGTAGGCCTAGAAGTAATATTAGATAACTAATATTACCTATTTTAATCTAAATTTATAATTTAAATTATTTTACCTACACTATAACTATATAGAAAAGACTATTCTCTAAATTATAAGTATTTTAGAAACTTTATAATTCTAGAAGTACTTTTTCTTACTATATTACTTATAGATATTAATCTAAGTAATAACTTATTTAATATAAAGCTATAAGTAAGTATAGTCTTAGAATTATATATATTTTAAAAACTTTATAATTCTAGAAGC